AAATTCCTGAACAGTGATTTTCAGTTAAATCGTCTCTACAAGTGTAAAGAAACAGATCAATACAAATTGTATAGCGTTAAGGCATATCAATTTAGGTGTCTGGGAAACTGCCCACCTACCCCTCCCCTAAGCCATCATTTTGCTCTAAGCGTGTTAATGTTAGCTCAGGGGAGGGGTAGGTGGGCAGTTTCCCAGAAACTTAAATTTATCCCATATTAAAAGGGAAAGGTCCTTACTTTCGGTTGACGCGTGTCCCTCAAAAATGCCTTCGCTTTAGCTCCCTAAAAAGTTGTAGCCGTCGTCATTCTACTACGCCGGGTTTCGCGAGAATGTCGTAGTGTCAGAACCAAGTAGACAAATGGTAGAAGTTTTGAAAGTGAAGAATGATCATCGCAGTAGCTTTGGTAGCTTTGTTAGCTTTCAGTAGCTTTTGAGTATTGGACCGCGAAATTTCCGGAAATTTTGGTTGAATGGATCGCGCCCCTTATTTCACTGGTCCCCTTTAATCTACACTTCCATTGTTTTCAGGGATAGGGGCATTGTTATCTGACAATCCCTATTGTTTTCCTAGCTAATCAAAAACAATCTTTCAAATGGGTGCGGGATCGCCCAACGTTTGTCGTTAAATAGAGTGAAATGATGCTTTCCGGGGTATATAAATATGTATATACTTTGAATATGCGAAAAACTTTAAGTTAACTCTTGTCCTCGTCATTCTCGAAACTAATGGTCTCTATTATCGGACATTGTTTTTGTTATTAAAATACGTAACGAGTTATCCAATGCCCTTCTGGTTGGCATATTAACATCAATAGCTGACGTCAGCGTGTGTATCGCTATAGACCAATTCCGATATATTAAAATTTATACTTGGCTGCGAGGCTTGGCGAATAAACAAAATAAGTTTTATTCCCCAAAGCCTCGGAGCCAAGCATAAATTTTGATACATTAAAAATGGTCTATTGGTCACAGTGACTACTTCGGCAAGGAAGGCTTTAAAACACTTATTATAGATTCACCAATCAACTGAAATTGATACAAAAGCAAACAAATTTACCACAGACGTTTTTTATTCAATGAATACTCCCTTGTAAACATCCAAATATACGGTAAACACACTTAGTAATAAACACACTTAGTAAATGAAATTCTACATGTGTCAGATTTACCTTTAATTATTACCAAAGTTAACCGCAGAGTCACACACAAATAATGATAACAATGATTGAGAAAATCTAAAAATGAACGCTCAAGTACGACACATCAACTGTAAGAAATATAACAACTAGCTTCATTTTCATCGCCCTTATTCATTAATTTTAGGGAGCGTCCTCGCGCGCGCGCGTATTCCAAGTTTCTCTCCTTACTCTACAAGAAAAAACGGCGCCCGCTACTCAGGCTGCTTCTTACACCTCTAACAGAAAAAAGCTTTTCACTTTCGAATTAGATTTTACAACTTCGTTCACACCATATATGATTGTGTTTACACTGATTGGACAGCTACGTGGCTCCAGTCCCTCGTGAAGGTTATGTCCATATAGATGTAAGTCTGCTAATGTTTGTGAACCCATACAAACCTATGGTTTGCACCTGTCCACATTAAGACAATATTAATTCATCCGTTTGTAATCGTATTCCGTATAGCCTGTGTAAAGCCACCCTCACCCCTCAGAATAAATCGGAGAAGGGGCGTCTGTGATTTATCGTTGCTAGTTGCTAATCGTGAACTGAGACCAAGTGATTTTTCCCGGAATGTGTGGAAAATGATTTGATTGGCTGTTACTCGTGGATCTCGTAGAAAACTACACTCATGTAGCTATTCAGATCCAGGCACGTCGGAGAAAACCAAAGAAACTAAAATCTTTCTTGAAAGGTTCTTAGCCGTATATTAAAAGCTTTATGCTGTAAGAGAACTGAAAGAAAATCAGTGCTAAACTGCCACCGAGATCAAATTAAATCCCTTCTCCGATTTGTTCTGTACACAGGCTATTTACATATTGTAGGTTATTCACACCGATTGCACGTTAACGATTGTCCCTCCATGTGTAACCGGAGGCCGTAAACACATTTGTTTGTATGGCTTAAAACATTGAATTGAGTTTACTGAAATAAATTGAGAAAGTAACTTCTTTTACTTATCCAAACAAATAGGAAGAGCATCAACAGGATTTTTTTTAGAACAGGGGATCTTGATCAAAATCACAAAGCTGTTCTTGTCTATTTTGGTCATGCACTTTTTTTCCATCAGAAGTGAGTCTCATTTTTGGGTTCCAGTTACTTAAGTATGTTTATGGTTTTCCCCTCGATAGTCTCAACTAATGCTTGTCTTATTAAAATGCAAGACAATATTAGTTCTAAAAACTATCCTGGTTTGAAATGTCTCAATACTTTATGAATAAGAAATTAAAAAGATTGCCAAAACTAATTATGATTGTCAATTAATGTTAAAACAAAAATTGGAAGATAGATTCAGTGATTATTGATCTCAAATTAACGCAGATATTATTATTTTTGGACCCTGCCAAGTCCCTTTCTACCCCCTCGAGAACCTCGACGACTTCGGGAAAACAGTTTAATAATATTCTTGTTGGTCACAAAAGATTTCCTACCGTAATTGAGCTTTGACCGAATTGATGAAATATCTTTTTCTAAGAATATTCTTCAATTGTTCTATATATAGTGGCTTAAGATATTCTCATTTTCGAATCAATGCTTTATGGATTTTACTGTTTTTCTAAGAGAACTTGACCACGTTACCAATTGAACAGTGCTTATGTTAAAAAAAATCTCGCTTGATTTGACACGGATTAAACCCATTCAGTATTCAACAGTTGTCAAATCTGGAGACTTTTTGTTCATTCAAACGTTTAACTTAAAATTGTTGAAATTAAATAAACAAAATAATTGCAAAACGCAAAAATTAAGTTCTTATAAGAACTTGAAGTTTTGTTACTGACTAAAATTTCACATCTGCCCGCATACAAATTATCCGCAGAAAGCGGAAATAGAGGATCAAGGCAATAAAGCGCTGTTGTTCCATACAAGCCCTGTTTCTTTTCTTTTCTTTTCTTTTTTCAGACAATTCTCACATTTAGGTACTCCAGAGACCATAAGGAGAATGAGTACAAGCTCTCCACCCAAAGATTTCTGGGATTGTTTGGGTAGACCTTGTAAGCAATGATTGGTTAATCGTTACCTCCGAATACCATCGACCAATCATAACTACGAACCATATATAGAGCGTTTTCACGTCATGTCCGCCATATAGAGTGACGTCACGGCGGCCATATTGGTGTCCCAAAACAATGAAACAGCGGCCATGTTGGTGTCACAAACCAGTTCTGCAGGAGTTGAACTTTTTCTTATGCAAAAACTTTCGTTTGTTCCGATAAATTCACATAACTGCTGACCACGTGGGTGATGACGCTAAATAGCTTGGCTACTCAGACGATCCCAACAATCATTTCGGCTCCGCCAAAATTTTGTACCCATTCTTCTTGTATAATCACGGACGTCTCATCTTCTGTTTGAATAAAGTTATCTAAAGTTGCGGTACTGGTAATGATACCACTTTTTGGCTATTTATACGCTGTTTTAAATTTTGCAAGATGACGATTAACTTGAATGAAAATCGGTTCAAACATACCAAAAGTGGAGATCTTATTGCGCAAACATCAAAGCAAGAAAAACAATTTGCTTGTACAAATATCTATTCACAAAAATTGTGAAAACAAAAAGTCCTTATATTCAGGAATATTTCAAGGAAAAGAAACATCTCTGCTAATATACACAACCAATCTTGAGAAGGAAATAGACAATTTTCAAACAGAAGATGTTAGCCAGGGTGCCAAAATATATCAATAAATGCACGATGACATTATGAGATTGATCTAAAGACAAACGGAGGCCGTTACAAGGCCAGGGCAAGTATGAAAACAACACTCTGTTTCCTTGATCTCCTCTTGACAATTTTTTTTTGTCCAGCTTATTACCTTTCAGCTTTCAAAGGCACATCAAAACCCAAAAATTTGTTATTCAGGAATTTCAGCATTTCGAATTTTGAGCACCATTTGACGGCTGACTTTGTTAAAATCATTTACAACTCTCTCGAGCTTGATATATCCTCCTGACCACAATTTAAATTAGCGTAAACATAGATAAATTCATGGTGCGTGTTCATTACATTTTTTCGTCGTATTTACTGTTTTTACATTCTATGTGAAGTTTTCTATTAGTAGAATACAACAAAATTTTACAATATAACGGCACCCATTTTATATCCTTAACATATTTTATCCTTAAATACAACTTGCAGTTGTATGTCGTTGCAGTGACCAGCATCAAATTATTTAATTTCGTAAAGTATCACCGGTAAATCAGACGTTAGTGAATCATGATAATAAATGAAATGACCAAATTGTTCTCATTATAGTATCCTAAGAAATGTTGGGGATTATTATTATTATTATTATTATTATTATTATTATTATTATTGTTATTATTAACTCTTCCTAAACCATGACTAACCATCTCCATCTATATCCTATTCACTTTCAATTACAAAACAAATGAACCAGAAATTTTGTCAAAAGAATGCTTACATTTTAGCTGAAATTTGACTCATTTCCTCAAAGCATCGGTCAATTGGAATGGAAAACCCCCATAGGCCATTTCCAAGTCGCTGCAAACCTGGCCCCAGTTGTTCGAAAGCCGATTAGCGCTTAACCCGTGGTTAAATTTAACCCGGGTTTTTCTTTCTTGTGTTCAAAAGCACTCTCTGGGATAATTTTCTCCATTATATTTAGAGCTTTCAATAGTCAACTTGTAGACAAAAAGAATTAAAACTGAAATGCTTTTTAAGCTTTCAAATCTGAATTCAAATCTCGCACTAATCCTGGGTTATCTTAACCCGGCTTTGAACAACTCGGCCCTGGTTTTGAACGTGAGAATTCTCAGAACTTAGAGCCTGCCAATTGGGTATTTTTCAGAGTCTCATGGGATTACATTCCATTGATGATTCGCGCAGCACGCTTCATATTCTCTTCGCGTTTCAGTAAATCTTCAATTTTCTTGGCTTGGTCATCGTTTCTACAGATGGACACAAACCTGGCATCCTTGAGTCGCGATCGGCTGCGCATATGCTCGAGAGCCTGGGTTGAGCCTGAGGGATTCATAACAACCACCAGCTGACATCCTGGTAGATCCAGGCCCTCCTCGGACACATTTGTGGCTACGACAACTTGGCAATATCCGTCGCCAATTTGAGATATTAATTCCCTCTGCTTAAGGATTGCCAGTTCCGAAACTAAAAAAAAAAGACGAAAAGAAAATTAAATGGAAACTTTTACATTAATAACATTTTATAACCCTTCACCACTTCATCGCAGAATCAAAGCCACGCGATGATTTACAGACCTTACAAGATAACTTTGCCGCAGTGTTCCTGACGATAGTTATCGCACTTAATACAACGTGCTAAAGTTAGGGAGGGCAAATCCTGTTATCGTCTGACGATGGTAAAGTGTTGTCGCCTCTGTAGAATAGCGTATCTTGTTAGGTTGAGAAAGACCTGACCATTTAAATGTGTGAAATGAGGCACTGTTTTCAAAACTTCGAGTGTTTGTTTTCATTCAGCATCCCCAACCCCAATGGGGAATGGGGTGTGGGAACAGGGGATTTCAAACCCCCCGCCTCATGTACCATGCATTCCCAGCTCCCGCCCCTTTTTTCTTCGCATCTTCCCATCATCCCTTTTTCGATTGCAAAGTATTAGACATTGTTAGTAATTTCCTCTTATTTCTCCCACTTCCCACCCTTTTAGAACTCTCATGTTCCACTCTTTCCGCTCTCGTCTCCAGTACCCTTCCCGCCCCCTATCCTCCCGGATTCCCAAACCCCTGCCTTCCTACCGGCCCTACCCTTCCTCACTCACAGTTACATGAGAAAAAGATCTTTTGGCGTAACCACAAAGCCATCAAACCGAACAGCCTTACCTTCTTCATGTGGTTCGTGACCATAGCCAACAAGACACGTGGTGTGAACATTGTTCATCAAAAGCTCCCGACAGTTCGACAGGCATTGTGCCAGGTACCGAGCAGTACGATGGCGATTGACCAAAACCAAAACACAACCGTTGATCCAGCTACATGGCCCGGCCCAGTTACTCTTTAACAAAAGCTTGATAAGTTGGTCTACACCGGATGCAAAGTCATCAAATTCTGAATCCCATGATGCACCTTGTTAAAATGAAATAGTATCTTAGCATTTTTACGTTCATTCATATTTATGTAGCAGAAACGCTTCACGGATTAGTTCCTAAAGTTAACTAACGATGACGAATTGTCCTTCTTTTTTATTGCTATTGCAGCAATTGCGCTGTTATTATTAGCCATTAATTCCCATTGTATAACACAGCCCTTAACGAATATTGGTCTTAGCAGGGGTTTCTCTACCATGAAACTGAGATTCCCACCAACAGATGACCGATTCGCAAGATATTCAATTGTCGCTCTCTTCAAAAATTAGGCTAGTAGCCTCTCTTCCAGGCTAGTAGCTTAATCTTTTAATTCTCCTTACTTACTGATTTGTACTATTACCCATGTAACAATATTAGTCGTTACATGTAAACCGGAAAATGATTAGAAGTATGAAACTTACTCTGGGTCATAATAGCTTCCAAATGCATCCAGATTTTGCTGCAATCCAGGCCCATCTTTTCTGCCCAGTGGAATCCGTGGGGACACCCCTCAACTGTTAGTTCCTGTAAGTGATTCAACGCTATTTTCTCTCCACACTCAAGGAGCGCGCAAACCGCCTCGCAAACGAGTTGAAAATGGAGCAGTGAGCTCAAGGCATTCGATTCTGGGCGCGAACAAACAATATTGTCTATGACACGTAGAACAGGGTGGATATCATCGATGCTGAAGAGGCCACCAGATGAAGGCTGGAAGATGTCTTTGTAATCCTTCATCTCACTCAGTCGTACAGCTAAATTGAAAGCCTTAGTAATGTACTCCATTAAAATCTCCATCAGCTTTTTCTCGGAATGCGTGTATGAAGTTGAGACGCACTCAGGTGAGGCCTTGCTTGTTTTTTCTTCCAATTCCTCGACCCACTCTGTCACTGTCAAAAGCTTGGCTTCGCCCAAGTTTCCCAGAAGTCGTTGTAATTTCTTTGTTGTTTTATCCAGGGAAATCTCCCCGGCTGGCGAGGCAGTCATTCCCAGGACTTTAGGTCGGTGCCCCAGTAAATCATCCTCTCGAAAATAGAAGTCCCGTATGATGACGTTGTAAGGATGGTCTTTGTTACAATGATGAGCTTCATCGAGAACTATCAGCGAGACATCCTCAAATCGAAGTGTTCCGTTGTTCAAATGATTTCTGTAACAATCGGCTGTAATGATAAGTACATCTTGCTCATAGACTCTTGCATTTCCTTCCAGTTTTCTCATCTCGCCGCAAACAGCACCAATGCGAATAGGCCGAGTACCGTTAAAAGAGTTAGAACTGTCCTCGTCTGGCATTCGAACATGCGCCAACTCTCTTCTTAGGTAATTACTTTGCTGTAGCACGAGAAGAACTCGATCAACAAGGAAAATAACTTGGCGAGATGGATTCAACATGAGCATGCGCTCAATAACGAGCGCCGCCACTAGCGCGTTTCCACTTCCGCTGGGAAGGAAGAAAACCGCGTTGGTCCTCATTGCCTTGCTGTACAACTCAAACTGATACCTGTAAGGCTTTGATTTTATTTCGCTTTGCAAGGTTTCTTCGTCTGAGGTGGTGATTAATGGCAAATGTGGCTTGGGCGGTGCCTTTTGGGACTTTGCCACTGTCTGTTCATGTCTACCACTGCTGAAATGTTCCTTGGCCTGTGATTCAGAATTAAGATGTACCTTGCAATATTCACAAAACTTCTTGTAGGGAACTGCATTGATCTTGGCAATTTTGTTTTGATGTTTTGTGCTTCTTAGATGCTCTTCGAACTGTGCCTCGGATATGATTGGAATTCGACACAATTTACAATAGTGCGATGCATTTCTTTCACCAGGACTGGAGAAGCTGCCATTGGTTTTCACCCATGGCCTCAAATTATCAACAGCCTGCGTTTCTTTGCGTGGTCTGTTTTCGGACGCATTAAATGAATGCCTTCGAGGACGTTCAGGTATGTCTTCGTAGTTGCCTCTAAGCCTGAACAATTTATCTTGTTTTCTTTCTGCGCCAATCACACCAGGTCCGCCATTGCTCTGATGAGGAAACCGCTGACAGATATTCCAAAGAGGTGGGTTTCCATTACTGGTGTTCACAAACCCTTTTCTGTTTAGTTGATAGAGACAACCGTTTACTTGGCCTTTTGTTTCAGGCCCGACGGATGCCATAATTTCTGAACTTGTCATGGGTCCATTATTTTGCAGGGTGAGCCAAATAATTTTCATGTCGTCCAAACTAGGCTCATCATTTAAAGGTGTTTCTGACGGACTAAAAAAGTTATGATTCCATCCATTGAAACAGAATTTAGATTCTTGTTTACTCTCACCCGCTATCCTCGAAGTGTCTGACAGAATTTTCGGGATTGGGCCTCGGTCTTGGTATTCTTTCAGGAAAATAGTGTTCCGTGCCCTGTTTCGATTCAGGAAAGGACCTGCTTCGGCCATTTCTCTGGTACTGACCAACTGTTCCAGCTGAAGAGATATGAGAAATAGATGCAGGTGGACTTACTGCGCTTTGACAATGTAAGTCTCTGTCATCGAACATAACACTAGACGATGATCTCATCCAAATTACACCGTTTACCGTTTCCTCCTGGATAAATGAAGAATCGCTTGTGTTCACTGAGGCTTCAGAATGCAGAGGCAGCAAAGATGTCTTCTTATGTTCTGGTGCCTAAAAGTGAACGTTAGCAAGTTAAGGTTAGGATACATATCCCTATAAACTAAATCTTAAGTTAAATCTCTCTCTCTCTTTTATACGTAAGGTCGCTAAAGTTATACTCAATCACTGAAGTAAATCCCTGACAAGAATAACTTTGCTTTGAACGAATTTCATGGTTTGTCTGAATTAAAGGACTAAATCTCACCCCCACAGAAAAGAAAATCCATATTAATATGATTTACAGGAGATTCATATGATATATTCCTGATCCTGTTGCTCGCGATCGCTTATTTTTTTACTTTTTATAATGTCTAATGTTTACATAGTTAGTATTTGTGTATTTTCCGTAAGGGCACACTTAATTTGGAGCCTCGCTCTGTTGTCTGTCCCGCACCTTCGACCTTCGTTTTTGTGTCTTGTTTAAATGTATTTTTTCCCTAGTCTTTTTTAGTATTGTAATCATGGTGAAAGCGATTAAATCAATCAATCAATCAATCAATCAATCAATCAATCAATCAATCAATCAACCAATAAATGGAAGTAATAAGGTAACAAAAGACTGCGCGTGATCTGCGCTCGTTCCCATCATCCCCGCTTGCCGCGCTACTCGACTCTCTCGTCTCCAGCACCCCGCGTTTAAAGTCCCTACTCCCCACAGAGCGCTAACCTAAGGAAAGCTTATGGAATAGAGCGTTTTCACTTACATGGCCAGTATCTATTCAAATTTATTAGCAAAAAAGCAAGTTTTCACATAAGAAAAAGAGTTCAAATCCCACAAGGCTGGTTTTGAACGCCAACATGGCTGCTGTTTCGTTGTTTTGAAACACCAATATGGCCGCTGTGAAGTCATGTGAAAACGCTCCAGAGGCAGATTGTTATTCGAAAGCAACCTCGATGACCGTAGTTTTAATTACGATTTGGTATTATATCGCTCAAATGAGAGAAATCCTAAATGCTTAAAGCCTCAAACCGACAAAACAACAACCTACCTTTCTGCTATAGATCGCCCGGTAATGGTTTGAAGAAGATGAATCACTAAAAGAACGTATCCTAGAGGATTGCGACGGCATCTTCGGTCTCCCATGTCCCACTGTCTTCTCGGGTCTTGTGTCGTTTTTCAAAGTACTGTAAAACCCATTGCAGGTTGTATTCAGGTTGTACTCTGCACGGTAGCCGTTCAAAGAGGCACCAGAGTTGAAGCCATTGCTGTAACCATTCATCAACGTGGCAAAGTGATATCCATTCTTAGGAGAAGGATTGGACTCGTATTGGAAGGATTCAGGCATTACGTACGGTGCTGAAAAATTTGATGTAGGAAATTTAAAAAAATGTAGGATGTATTTTCTTGTCAGCATCAATACTGGTGCAACAAAGTAGTAAGAGAATCCAAGGAAGTTCACGGTGGCTAAAACTTGCAAATTAAAAACCGCAAAAGCTGGTATAAGAAAGCGACTGAAAGTCATTTGTTAGAAAGGTTATTATAATTGCTTGATCAATCATGACAATTCGGGGTTCTGAGCTTTGGTTGAATTGTGCAAAATAATTGACCACAGATGTAGTTGAGAATGATGATTAAGACAGGAAACATGTTTGGATTAAAGTTACAGTTTTCCCTGACAATAAAACATATCAGCTCGATCTTTGTAGAAACAACAAAAGTAGTAATGAATCACAATAATTTATGCGTGCATGCATGCTAAGATACGCTCTGTCTGCTACCTCAGTCTTGCGTCTAACAATAAATTTTACATTCAAGAATTGGCGAGCCACGAACTAAAATCTCTGACTTGAGTGAAGAATAATTTGTCGTATATCTAAATCTATTACTCTTGTTACCAGTTGTTAAAGAAAGCTCGAAAAGGGAAGTGACTAAGAACAAGTAGCTCAATACTGACATGCTAAGACTTGAGTCTTGGTGTCTGTTCTGAGTTCTTTGGATCCGAAAAGAATTTTATCAGAACGTTCAACTAAGTTTCGATCGGTACGGATCTAACTGAGAGAGATACAGATCATAATTGATCGCCCATTAATAGCACAGACGAGTCGAAAGCGGAAGTGAAGAAGTACACAGTTATTAGAATCATGAGGCTAATTTTCAAACTAATCTAAGCCAAATGTTTTACTAAAATACATCGAACGTATCGTAACCTTACCTAACCACCGTTTTCCTTTTTTCGGGCAGGCGGTTCGAAACCTTTACCATACCAATAACTTGCTTGGAAGCATCATATCGAAAATGAAAAGTCTTCGCAGTTCGAAGGGACGCGTAAACACCTCGATTATTGATCACGTGACTAGTCACGTTTTTAAACTGAAAGCCTCACTTACGCCTTCCCTTCTCATTAGAGTTTCTTCTTAGAAATTTACTGCATCAGAAAAGTCTATAAACGTAACTTTAAGGTTAAAGAACTACAGTTGTTTCGTTTTTTATCGTTGTTTCACTTCGTTCATTCAGTTAGAGAAAAAACGGAAATTCAGCTTTTAATCGCGGCGATTCCTGGAAGCCTTACTTCTATGAATTGTTTACAAGCTAATAGAAAAAGATAGATTGAAGATCTGCCCGGAAGGCTGTATTCACCTCGAACATAAGTCGCTAATTTGATGAAAATTCTTTTTTTTTGTTAAAATGATTGAGCTGCCTTGAACATGACATCAAAAGACGTAACTATTTTTTCACCTAAATATTCCAATTAACTAAAGTAAGGTGGGAAAAAGCAACCTAGCAATTTAAGGGGGAATTGTTCATAACATTTTTGTCACGAAATATTGACCAATATTCTGCGAAAAAATCCTTAAAGGTTAAAAATTTAAGTTTTTAGTACATCGTTAGAGTCTCTTAAAACAGTTTAACTGATCCTGACTGACTGACCGACTGACTGAGAATGTTATGGAAAGAACTCCAGCGACCCCTGAGCACAAGACGAAACCAGAATGCATCAGTTTGCTTAACGATCTTCGGCTTCTTTTGCCTTGGGGTGTCGAAGAAGAAGAAAAATTAACGAAAACTTTTAACAGAAAACTCAGTGGTAGACAGTAGGAAAGAAATGATTTGCCAAATATGTGGCTCGGTGCATATTGTTTGCCGGTATAGTGTACTTCCCCTTTCGTAGGAGAAAAACCTTGAGCACTTTCACAGCTTTCGTTTGGTTTAAGCAAAACAATGCAACCTTAAGTTTTAACATATCACCTACTTGGTAACTTGTTGTATGGAAGAGCTCTTCTTGAATTGTCCGAACGGTTTGCTCGCAACTGCTCCAAAACTGTTTGTGTTTCGCTTGCGAAGAAAACGCAAGTTAATCAATCTCACAATTTCCCCTTTCTTACCGCAAGCTGTACTGAGGTATAAATTGAAAATAAAAGAGCTGTAATTGCGCTTTCGATGCACGCTTATCCCCTTATACGAACGGAGAAAAACAGATGACGAATTATGGCCCAAAGAAGTGTGTCCGGTGCGCTTTCAATTATAAGAAGAAGCAAAGCGTTTCAGTAAAATCACTAAATACTGCCTTAATTTTTAATTCTACCACAGGCAATGAAATCATGAGATGAAGAAATTCGGTTAAATCCATTTGGCCGATTTGTACTGATTTCCACACTTTCCAAAATGTCATATAAAGGGCAGTTGAAAAAATACAGAACACTGTTGTTACTGCTTATGTATTCAGTTTCTCTAGGGCATATCAGATATACTTACTATCAGGCTGTAATACTGAGTCTTCATGAGCTGGACTCAATGAATCGCCAAGAGGGAGAAAACAACCTTCCATCCTCAAAAGAGTGTAGACGCTAATGCCCACTGGGCATTAAGTTAAAGCGGAAGAGACAAAAGATTTCCAAGAAAATCAAGATTCTCGGAAAAAGAATTACGTCATCTCTTTACATTACATGATGACTAACTTGAAGTACGCTTGTGATTCTGGGGGTAAACAGCTTTTTCTACAATGTACGGAGAACTGCAAAATAAGCGGTTATGGTTCAATTTGCTGTTTTATCGTCAAGGCAGAAATGAGCCAATACTGCGACATTAGCACTTGAATCAATGTAGTTTTTTCCAGTATTGCTTTTGTAACTTGTAACACTGTTGACAGATATGTAGCCACGCCTGCGACTACGCCCTTAGTGCTAAGTTTAGAAAACACGAAATAACAAAGCTTTTCTGAGTAAAGTGGGTGATGTAAGTTTGGATAACTAGCTGAGGCAAGAGATAAAAGATACATTTGTCTGTTGCATTATCTAATGCTATTCTTTCAGCCATTTAAGCAAGACGAAACTATTTCGATGCCGTGAGAATCAGACAGAGTTTCCATTTTGGATGTTGTATTTGTTATTTTAGCTTTCATTATAAAATTTGTACTGCTTTATGGAATAAATTGCTCTTACACTGTGCAATTTCCTTGCTGATACACTGGCAAGGGTAATTTTAACCAGCATCAGCAACAGATCATAAGGGTGATTGCATTATAATCATTTAGCAAAACGAGGTATTTCAGCCATAGTTTCAGCCTCACTTTTAGCTTTATTATTCAATTAAAACGGGAATATCTTCGAGCCATATCGTGATAAGGTTAGCGGCAGAGAGTGCACAAGTTTTCAAGTTATCAAAGTTTCAGCCAATACGGATCCCAGATCTCTGCCTCTGTGCGATTGGGGTAGATCATCTACAGGGATACTGTACATGTAATCTCGATATCTAACTATATTAGCGCGCTAGCCTACATTTCGTAAAATATCATCCCTGGATTTGTCTCCACTTATTAAGACATTTTAGGTGAACTCACCCTTT